CGCTGATCTTGCTTCCTTCCATTTCTTTTTCTGGGTCAGCAGTTTCCTCCTCTGTGCTGAGGGCCCCCAGCAAGCTGTTAGAGGGCATCTTCAGCAATTCTATGCTGTTGCAGCTGCTTATGAAAGCCTTAAGAATCTCTTAAAATGTGACTATACATCTGTTAAGTCACCAGAGAAGGGCAAGCCCCCTCCCCCCAGCCTGTACCAGTGCATCACTGCTCTTTCTAAGAAGAAAATTTACCTAATATCCAACCTGACCCTCCCTTGGTGCAACTTAAGGCTGTTACCTCTCATCCTATCAAAGAGATAAGGTACAAAGCACCAAGGACCTGGGTGGCAAACCACGTGGACTCAAGCAGGAGATCCATGTTGGACCATCCCACCTCTTCCTCTCTGCTCTCCATGGTTTCCCCATGTCAGCAGCACTGTCTCATCCTCCTGGTGACTCTTGCTTACCTTGAACCCAATGGCCAGTGCAGGGAATGGAGTTAATCTTAAGCAGCAATGGTTCCATAAATGGTCCTGCAGGAACAGAGCTGGGCTCTGTATAGTGGCTGTTTCCCCCAAGTGGCCTCCTTGGGACAGGGGCACTACTGAGACCTGATCCCCATCATTTCTATTCCTTACCCCTACAGTCACATCACCAACTCCAACCACATCAACAGCAACACAGCCAGCTCCCAATCCACAGCCCTGGCTTTGCCCCTCTCTCCTTCATAGAACAACAGAACAGCTTTTGTTGGAAGGGACCTTAAAGATCACCCAGCTCCAACCCTATGGTCGATGGTACAGAGACATGGCAACTGCAGGCAGAGATCTTTGCTGAACCCAAAAGGCTGCCCTCAAGTGTACTGCCCATTTACATAGCATTAGCCATTAAACATCAACACTTGCAGCAAAAATTGTTTTGTCACACTGACTTTTTAGGTTGGATATCAGGAAAATGCCCTGAACCCCATTGGGTGGTGGGCACAGCCCCGAGCTGCCAGAACTCAGGGAGAATTGGGGCACTGCTCTGCCATAGGGCTGGGTTTGGGGTGCTGTGTAGGGCTGGGGGTGATGATCCCCATGGGTCCCTTCCAATATGGGACAACCTACAGTTCTATGATTTGGTCACAGTTGGCCAACACACTCAAAATTAGCGTGGAGCTGGCAGCTGTGGGGCTGGAACTGGACAATTTGTAATGTCCCTCCCAGCCCAAGCTATTCTGTGATGTCACTGCTTCATTTCTTTACAAACCTGGGCTAAAAACGGAACCAACCATCACCAGCAACATCTATCTTTAGATTCCGAATTCTAAACAATTCCTTCCTTTGTGCTTCTTCCCTTTCCCCCCTGCAACTCTCTTTGGCAGAAGTATTAAAGCAGCTGCCACTGAGAGCAGGAATGGAGCTGAAAATTGGGAAGAAAGGCAGAGCTCACAGCACAGGAGCTGCACCAGCTGGGTGCCTTCCAGGTCACTGCAGCCCTCCAGCCTCCCAGAGGACAGCCCTGCTGCTCTCCCGTGTGTGCAGGAAGCACAAGCTCTATGCAGGTAAATCACTGCACGCTATTCAGTTTTTAGAAGGGTTTGCCAATCAGATTAATTTGTTCAAGCCAAAGGAAAAATAAGATAATACAGATTTTTTTCATGGGGAAAGCATTCCGCTGGAGATTTTGCTTGTCTTCCTGTGCCAAACTGGCTGGAAAAGTGTATAATTAGAGCGTTTCTGCAAACAAAATTAATTGATTGCAAGTCTGTACAGGGTAAGCCTTACACCCATGTATTTCATGGGGAATGGACAGAAGATGTCCCAGTCTTATTCCACAATTCAACCACGATCCCAAAAAGGGAATGCTATTACACAGAAGGTCACAATGTACCATTTTTAGCCACATCCATGGAATCATTAAGGTTGGGAAAGACCTCCAAGACCCCCAAGTCCAGCCCCAGGTCACCCCGCCGTGCCTCTCAGTGCCACATCCCCATGGCTCTGGAACACCTCGCTCCATTAAGACCTCCATCTAATTTCCATCTATCCCCTGCTCCTTTCACAAACACTTGTTTGGTGTATCCTAATTTCCAGTGGTTTTCCCTGTCACATTCAATACATCTCCTGTTCATAAATTATAGACTTGCCTGATTTCCCTGACGTTACACAAGAGTCAACAGCAATACAGGAAAACACAGCAGAGACCCAAATTCAGCATGTTCAAGGGATGCTGGCTGGGTAAGATCCAAACAGAGGCCCCCAGTGCCCCCCTAGAGCAGGATGACAGAATCACAGGATGATAGAATGGCCTGGATTGCAAAGGAGCACAATGCTCATCCAGTTCCAACCCCCTGCTGTGTGCAGGGTTGCCAACCAGCAGACCAGGCTGCCCAGAAAATGGATGGACCCCTTCCTTTCCCCTTGCTCTCCCTCCAAAACTCAACCTTCACCCACTCCTGGTTGAGATGCTGAATGGATCCACAAGAGCCACACGAGTTCCCCAGAACTGATGGCACACAACCACATCTCACAGCACCAAACTCAATGTGACCACACCATACCATAGGGATTCCCTGTTTCCCAGCTCCATGAGCCACATCCCATTCACTGAACACTCAGAATGCAGGTATTGTTGATAAGAAGAGATTGTCATTTCCTCAGTACCTGCACCCCAAGGGATCATCAAAGAATTAACCAGTTCTGTACTCAGACCACTCTCACCACAGATCAACCTACGGTCTGATTTTTGGGTGGTCTTCTCTTTGGATTCACCCAATGACCCTCATGGATCCCTTCCAACTCGAGATATTCTATGATGTTATGACTGAACTTCTGCTATTAGAATTCTTTCCAAACTCGGATTCGTTTTAGTTCTGGACACATCATGAAGCACACAGAGCTGTAATTTAGAGCAATAGATGTCAAAACCATTCCACTTCATGCACGCAAGCCTGGGAGAAGCTTCTTGGCTGCACAGCAATTAAAACATTGATGTTGATTCAAACATGCCTGTGACTGAAGGCTTCAGAGTTCCCTTGCTTATAGGCTGCTACCCAATTATTCATGTTCTTTTAGCGTTGCTAAGAGGCTTGGTTTGTATTGTCAGCTTCTTGGGTTTTGTCATTGTGTTAAAGGATTCGTATATACAGCACTGGGAGTTCCCTTATGGGGAAAAAAGCAGCAATCTTTAAGAGGATTTCAAATTATTTTAATCTGAAGAGCCCCATAAACATTTCCCATTATACAGGAAGAACAATCTGTTGTTGTTCATACATTAATCCTGGCAAGCACTTGAAGGGCATCAACGCAAAGGGGTGAAATTGTTACAGATAGCCTAAGGGTTACTGCAATACTTGAACGAGGAGAATAGCAGGGTGGGAATGCAAACATGGGCCAAAGGGGAGGAAACAGCATCATGATAAGATCACCAGGCCCCAAAAATGAACAGAAAGCTATTGGAGACCATGGCAGAAATTAAAGATGAGCCTTGCAAGAAGTGTCACAAACGTTTGCTAACCCAGACAGAGAGCCATCCATCCTCTTCCACTCAGTAATAATCAGCGGCAAATTATCTTTCCTCTATCTGAAGATGAAACATTTCACTGCAGAGAACAGCCCAGTGCTGGCAAGATGGGAGATGGGCAGGGTAATCTAATAGGCCTTTTCCATCTAACTTTTATGATTCTTATGAAAAATGACCTGAATAAGTGAAGTTATTTGCCCTTGTCCTCTTTGTTCATATTGAATTTAGTCAGAAGGGAAATCCTGCCAAGGACAGCAGGTTTTACTCAATTTACTGCCCTTTGTGATTGCTCTGTAAAATATTAGATTAGATGATAGAAAAGGTTAGGTTGTTTTTGTTGGGGTTTTTTTTGTTATTAGTATTTGTAATAGATTAAAAGAAGAGAATACCTCAAACCCAGTTTCTTAAAAGCCTGGGACTGTGCTGGAAGCCTCCCCTGCAGCCTGCCCCGAAATGCAGCACCGGCTCCAACATCTGGGCAGACAGAATGTGGGTCACACTCAGTACAGACCATGAACCATAAATAACAGGCTGGGAATTGGGGTAAAACCCAGGTGCAGCCCATCACCAGCACTGCCCATCACTTCTTTTGGCTTCCAAGCTGTTTTGCTAAGGCTGCAAAGGCAGCCCGTAACGACGCGGGATCACTCAGAGCAGGGGAATGCATTCCCTGCACACCACACTGCATGTATAAGCAATGAGATTCCAGGGAGAGGTTTTGATGTTTCTCCCCCACCGTTCAATCCCAGCCCCAAACAAGAGGCTGAGAAGCAGCAGCTGCGTGCTGTTGTAATGAGCGGTGTCAAAAATGCCGAGCAAATGAGGAACACATGTTTGCAAAGCAGCCCCTGCTCCTGGGCTGACCTCTGGGGCTGGATGGCTTCCCCCCTCCTAACAAAAGCAGTGTAAAAAGAAAAACATCCCAATGACCATTATGTACCCATGTGGGTAAGATGCTGCATCCCTTCTGGCAGACAGTGTGTAATCATAGTCAGGACACGGCCCCACTGCAGTGAGCACAGCTCAGCCCCTGAATGTTCCCCATGCTCTGAAAAAGCTGATGGGCTTCCACATAGCAGCCTCTGTTCCTTTGTTTTAATGGGGGATTTGTTCAATCACTGCTGTTGTGATGTTCCCTGTGGATTTGCTATATCTGCTCTTGGGGATTGGGTTGGGAGACTTGGCCGGAGAGGTGGTGGTGCCCCATCCCTGCAGACACACACCAGGGATCAGATCTGCCAGGCTGGATGTGGCTCTGGGCAGCCTGGTCTGCTGGTTGGTGACCCTGCACATAGCAGGGGGTTGGAACCTGGATGAGCATTGTGGTCCCTTTCAACCATTCTATGATCCTATGATGATACATAGGGATGGCTGTGAGCACTGATAGAGCTGTGGGTGTCCCTGTGCACTGCAAGGTGTTGGATCTGACAGCATTCAGGAGTCCCTTCCATCTCCAACCATTCTGCTGTTCTATGACAGGGTCAGAGCAGAAGCCCTGACTCACCTACAGGTTCCTGGAGGTGTGGATTTGGGGGTGTTGGAAAGATGGACTCACTCCTCTCCAGCTGTGTCAGGCACTGAGACCTAAAAATCAAGCACAGTATTCCTTAACCTCTTCCACAGCAAGAAAGAGCCCTTTACTTTGGTCTAAATTATACACTTTTACAAAAACTAATTGTCTTAGACACACTCCAATTACAAGTCTAATTATACTTTTCTAACTCTCTGAAAGCAAACCATGCTTTTTTCTTTCATTACGCATTAAATTGGGCTGAGAGATTTTCTGGAGCTGAGAAGCAGAACAAACGTCAGTAGGTATGAGATGGTTTGCAGGGATTGGCTGGGGCTGAACCTGACGATCTTAGAGAATCATAGAATGGCCTGGGTTGCAAAGGAGCACAATGAACATCTTGTTTCAACCCCCTGCTATGTGCAGGTCGCCAACCAGCAGCCCAGGCTGCCCAGAGCCACATCCAGCCTGGCCTTGAATGCCTGCAGGGATGGGGCATCCACAGCCTCCTTGGGCAACCTGTTCCAGTGCCTCACCACCCTCTGGCTGAAAAACTTCCTCCTCATATCCAACCTAAACCTGCCCTGTCTCACTTTAAAGCCATTCCCCCTTGTCCTATCACCATCCACCCTCACAAACAGCCGTTCCCCCTGCTGTTTATCCGCTCCCTTCAAGTATTGAAGGCCACAATGAGGTCTCCCCACAGCCTTCTCTTCTCCAAGCTGAACAAGCCCAGTTCCCTCAACCTTTCTTCATAGAAGAGGTGCTCCAGCCCTCTGAGCATCTTAGTGGCCCTCACCAACCTCAGACCTTACCCTACTTCCCACCCCAACTGGGCAGTGCCTTTCCTGCAGCTCTTGGCTGATGGGCAGCTCCTGTGAGTCTCCACTTGGCTCAAATCTGCCAGAAGCAGCTTTCTCTCTCTCTCTCTTTCTTTTTTCCCTTGGACTTCCTTAAAAAAAAAAAAAAGAGAGAGGGAGAGCAATTAAATGCTGAGTGCTGAGAAAGTTCTTTTGGAATGACAAAACACCGTGCTTTTCCTTGCTAACAAAATAAGAAATGTCCCTTTTCCAGTTTCTTCAGGCAGCTCCCAATAGAAACCACGTGGCTGTGACTTTGGATGCAAGTCAGCCTATTTTACATCATTACTTATTCCTTCTTTTTTGGAGGGACTGACCATCCCTCTCAAACACTTGCAATTCCATATTAAGGCCAACATTGCAATCCAAGATGTGTCAAAACAGATTTAGGGTGGTGAGGCACTGGAACAGGTTGCCCAAGGAGGCTGTGGATGCCCCATCCCTGCAGGCATCCAAGGCCAGGCTGGATGTGGCTCTGGGCAGCCTGGGCTGCTGGTTGGCGACCTGCACACAGCAGGGGGTTGGAACTGGGTGAGCATTGTGCTCCTTTGCAACCCAGGCCATTCTACATGGGCTGGCAGGCCACAAGAAGTCATTACCAGCCATGACCTGGTGCTGTTGAGGCATGGGGGGACACCCACATATTAGAAGGACATGCACACAGTGAAGAAACCCATCAGAGAGCCATCAAGGTGATCAGGGCATGGAACAGGCTGAGGAAGCTGGGCTTGGTTAGTCTGGCTAAGAGGATGCTCAGTGCTACCCAAAGTCAGGATACAGGTAATAAAAGGACAGCCATCAGGTGCAGTGCTGCTGTGGAGTGAGCCTGGGCATGGAAGGGCACTGTGCCCAGCCCCAGAGCACTCCCAGTACCAGATTACACCAAGGAGGGAAAGGAGGAATCCTCTCTCCTCTTCCTCAATAATACAGCTTAGTCCATAAAGGCTGAACGTGTGCACGTGCTTCTCAGAATTTGTGCCATCTAATTTACTCATAATTAGCCCAGATGATTCAATATTCCTACCTGACCTTATTTTCTACAAAACCCCCTAAAATTAATTCTCCTGCTGGCCTTGTGTGCAGACTACAAAAGCTCAAAGCATTACAATCCCAACCCAGCTCTGTGCTGGAGTAAATGAGAGGATCAGACCTGAAAACCCCGAGGAACATTTGTTTTTCTTTTAAGCAGTGCTGCATTCACAGATCTCCTGGAACAACCAGGGCTGTGTGCAGAGGAATGTCAGCAGCTCCGCGGAGGAAACGAGCCATCAGCCCAGACAAATTCACAGCCTGGGTTTTGATGCTGAGATGAATCACATGGCAAACAGATCCGTACGCTGCATTTCAAACAGATGCTGAAATTGCTTTCTGCTCTGGAGCTTATACTCCTAGGAATTGCTGGTGTCAATAAAGGCAAAAAGCACCTGACTGCATTGCCTTCCATGGTGGTGGTGGTTGTTGTTGCTGCTGGCTGAGAAAAACACTCACCTTCTAACAAGGCATGGAGCTTTTATTTGGGCTGAGCAGCCTTGTGCTCTCCACTGCAGTCCTACTGCTGCCTTGCTGCTCAGCTCTCCACTCGCAGCCTGCTTTAAGAACCTTCAAAATAAGTCAGCGTTTGAGGATGCAAAAAAAACTGACTGCAGAGTCCAAGAGAGGGAAGGGAAGGGAAGGGAAGGGAAGGGAAGGGAAGGGAAGGGAAGGGAAGGGAGAAGGGAAGGGAAGGGAAGGGAAGGGAAGGGAAGGGAAGGGAAGGGAAGGGAAGGGAAGGGAAGGGAAGTCCTATCACTATCCACCCTTGTAGTCTTTCCCTCTCCTGTTCATATGCTCCCTTCAAGTATCGGAAGGCCACTCCAATTATTAATTCTATGTCCTTGTTTAAATAATTGTAGCAGAAGCAATTGCCAAAAAAAATTCTGTTTTTAACACAATTTATGACTAACATTTGAATTCCAACACCAAGCAGAGACACAAGCCTTCAAGAAAAACATCAGAGTACAACTGAAAAAGGAAATGTAAAACTCAATGTACAACCTGAAACCGTTGACTTAAATACAATTACAATCAGCAATAATAAGACTGCTTATATGGGTATGGCCACCTCCACCATGCCCAGTGAACCACAGAATATTACAGAATGGTCAGGGTTGGAAGGGACCTCAAGGATGATGAAACTCCAACCCCCCCACCACACGCAGGGCCACCAACCTCCACATTTCACAGCAGCCCAGGCTGCCCAGGGCCCCATCCAA